AAGTGACAAACGCAGCCTATGGACATTTGCAACTTAAGAATCATAAATGGGTGTCGTAAGAGCCAACTAGAACAAAGAGAAGGAAAACTTGAAACAAACCCTATACCAACCCGTCTGGCCAGCGTGGTACAGTAGGCCAAAACCTCCTTTCTAAGGAGAGGCCTATGTCCAGAAGTGGACTATTAAAGGCTGATGATGTGAATCATAAATGCGTTGGCGTCCTTGGAATATCTTCCCCCGTCAGAATCAGGACGGCCACTTTTGCCAATCAATCGGTGAACATATCATCACCGATTTTCTGTGCGACGGTGGTCTCACTCCAGTCGAGCGGGGCCATGTGTATTTTAAGACAAACCGATTTTTTGTATAATGATTAGCAAAAAATCTGGAGTGGGTTTTTTTAACATAAGAAAAGCAAAATGATTATATCTTTTATTTAATCATTCAATACATCTATAACAGCCAAGACACACGTAGCTAAGCTCAGTGTTAAACAAATAAATTTAAGCTTATTAAAATATATATTAAGCTTACTTATATTTCTTAAACTATCCACAACAACAACACATTAGTAAAATTTTCACAATATTTTTGGTATTTGAGGGTAGATTTTCGCAGGTTATAGATGACCTTAACAGTTTCATATGTATTTAGCGTAAATGAATAATAAATTATTTTAATCAGTACCTACTATTACACATATCCTACAAAATGTTAATTTAAAAATTAACTAGTAAATAGAATTACATATCAATGAATTGAGACCAATGTTATGATTATATCTTTTATTTAATCGTTTAATACATCATGCTCAGTGTTAAAAAATACGCAGGACAACAGCACTGCAAAGAGAAGTAAAACTTGAAACGAACCCTATAACAACCCGTCTGGCCAGCGTAGTATGTTATAAGCTGTTGGTGGTGATGATGAGACCAAACTTTATTTATTATTATATCTACATATATACGTACACAAAAATACAATCGTAACTGCCTAGGCATTGTCTACCAGTCGTTCGGCATCCACATTTTTTTTTAAAACGAGCGTTTTGTTTGGATTGGGCCGATTTTTACCACCACTTATAACGATAAAGAAATAATCAGAAACAGACTGTACCCTCTTGGAAGCTTTCGCGAAGAGCGCAAATGAATTCTGCGCTCGATCGTTGTTGGGGAAACGCGTGACTTTTTAAATACAAAATTATGATTTCCCTAATCAAACTGTCTTAATATTTCTGTTTAGTTTTATAACCATATCTGTTAAATTACAAGCAATGATGTTGGCAATGCCGCCATTGTTAATATGGCTATGCACACCCAAGTATTTACGAACACCAAAGACTTCTTAGGAGGTGAAAACCGAAGGGAGGTTCAACGCTTTAAATTTATCAGATTATATCAGATTATAATATACAGCTATATTGCTACAGAAGAACTAAGGGATAAACATAGTTTAGTTGTTTCTATTTTTGTAAGGTGTGTCGCACTAGTGTTCTTAGCTGTAAATTCAAGAAAGCATGTTAGCTGTTCGAAGATCATCACACTAATTTTTGAAGAGAATCTTAAATCGGGGGTATTTTAATTGTTTTACTTGTCATATCACAGTAGAGTAATCAAAATAACCTTAGAAGCCATATAGCACATGTTACTTTTGAGTGCCAGGTTAGTTTTACATTGCCAAGTTTAGTTTTAAGGCGACTTAACATATAATATACTAGCTGACCCGGCAAACGTTGTTTTGCCATATAATTTTTTTTTTAATGTAAAAAAAAAATTGGAGAATGAAAAATAGATGTTGGCCGATTCTCAGACCTACCCGATGTGCACACAAAACTTCATAAAAATCGGTCCAGCCGTTTCGGAGGAGTATGGTAACTAACATTGTGACACGAGAATTTTATATATTAGATGAAGATTAGCGTATAGTATATCAATGAATAATACTATGAAAAAAAAGTTTGTATTACTTTATTGTTTTCGACTTAGCTAAGGTTTTCGAGATTGCCGTTCTGAGATCCAGAGATTATTTTTACCACCACAATTTACAACCACAATTACAAACTATGGTAATTGTGGTCGCCACAGGAAACCAGTTAAGACACAAATGATATCCACCATTCGGTTCTTCAATTATTTAAAATTCAGGACACTTTCACTTATAACTTTAGCTAGTTACAAAAAAACTCGGTCAATGGGCGGTTTACCCTTCTTTTTTTATTTCCAAATCATTATTGGCAAGAAAATCCTTCTTATCGTTGTCTATCTCCGAAACTCATCATACGATCTATATGAAATTTAAATAGGACAATTTCGGAAAAAAACCCTTTCGTACAAAAAATAATTTTAAAAGTCCGTCTATAGGTATATGACGGAATTATGCCCGAACACACATAAAAAATATATATAAACATCCGAATTAATAACCTCCTCCTTTTTGAAGTCAGTAAAAAATGGACGAAATTCGACTGCCTGGCGAATTCAAATGGACAGTTGCCTCTTTATGAAGTTTGTTCTTTTAATAAAAAAAAATGTCGCACTAAACTGAAAGATTTGTATAAAGTGGGTCAGATTTCACTAATTACATAAAATTCGTTTGGTGACGGATTAAGAATACGGAGTGTCACCACCTCTTTTCATCTCTTGGGTGTCGCAAGGGCCGACTAAGGGAGCAAACTACGCAGGACAACAGCACTGCAATGAGAAAAAGGAAAACTTGACACAAACCCGTCTGGCCAGCCTGGTATAGTAGGCCAAAACCTCATTTCTAAGGAGAGGCTCATGTCCAGCAGTTGACAAATAGGCTGTTGATGATGATGACATAAAATCTACCCAGAAATATTTTCTTTGAAGTATGTGACAATAGCAGTCAACCGGGGGTTTTGGCTTCTTATAAAATAGAGAGCTTTTTTATAGCATAAGGAGGCAAACGAGCAGACGGGCTACCTGATCGCATGTGACTACCTCTGGTCATGGAAACCTACAATTCAAAGAATCACAAGCGCGTTGGCGACGTTTTAGTCATCCCCAAAATTAAGGCGAGGGATTAGGGGCTCCAATAACTTCTCTCACTCTGTCAAAAGTTAGGACAGAATTGGTTAAATACGCTTTACTGTGAGGTGGCATCATACCGGTCGAGCCGGGCCCATTTGTGCCGAAGAATGGCTCGCCCACGATTAAGTGGAACTCAGTAGACAACATACATTACCACCAGATAAGGTTATATAATAATCTTTTTTAAAAAGAAGGAAGCGACTTCAAATAATACTAAAAACCTAGCAGAATCGCGGTTGATTTGCTGTTATTTTTTGAAGAGTCTGTCTCCGAAACTCATCATGAGATCCATATGAAATTTAAATGGGACCATTTCGGTATAAGCATTCGAAAATTAAATACTAACCAGTTGTAATATGAGGCAATTGTACCAGTAAATTTACTTTTATTTCAGAGTTGCACCATAAATAAATAAATAGTGAACCTACGCCACTACACGACGTACTATGAAAGCTAGATTGATTGATAGAATACTTATATACTTTAAAATAAATCCAAACTTCGAAACACAATAATTGCAAATCATACAAACATTTGGTCCGACACGGGTTTTTTTTTTTTTTTGCACTACTGAGGCAGTCAATGATCATCCACAGTCTATGAGTCCACTGCTAGACATAGGCCTCTCCTTAAAAAATATACTCTTTATAAAAATTATGGAGTGTATTACTCGTAGTTGCTATAGAGAAGTGATCACAATTATTAATATATTTCTGACTGGCCTGTTGGTCTAGTGGTTAGTGACTCTTTCGAGAGAGTGAGGGTTTGATTCCCACCCAGGACAAATAATTGTATGATGAGAACGATTATTTGTTCTGTGTCTGGATGTACTTTAACTATAATATGTTTATATTTAGAAGTATTTAAGTATGTTTATTAGCAGTCTGGTTACCATAGTACAGGCTCTGCCTAGTTTGGGATCAGACGGCCGTGTGTGAGATATGTCATGGTATTATTATTACTTCTATAAAACAAAGTAGGCAACCAATTACTTGATATACTGAATAAGTATGTCAAATACAAACCTCTATACAAATTAATAAAATTGAAGTGTCGGTTTGTAATGTCAAAATAATAATAGGTTCACACAGTTATTTGCATGATACCTATGTTTAAAAACCATATTAAAATTCTGTTTGTTCCTGGTAATCTTCTAAACGGCTGAACCGATTTTGATAATACTTTACTATCAGGTAGCTGTTTAAATAAGGAGTAACGTAGGCCATTTTTCCTCTTAGAAAACCCCTTAAAATTTTGCCCGGTCTGAGAATCGAACCCACTAAAGAACTTCGTTCGCGTGGAATTTGACCCACTGGTCAAATTCCACGCGAACGAAGTCCACCACCAGTTAGCCACAAATATTATCCCTAAAGAATCATGCTTCAACATATACGGACTGGCACAAACAGACTAATACCACACAACCGCTTTTAAGCAATTCTATGGTTGCAATTCACTGAGTGAATAAGGTTAACGAGGCCAAACCCATCGTAAATACAATTGAAACCCCAACCTTTGGCATAGCAGTGCATTCCACAAACAACTACACCAGCCTGCCGTCTTATTATTTACTATCTCCCTAATACTATCTCGACCGTCCCTCTTATCAACACTACCTTGACCAGCAATATATAAAGTAAAAACCGTGGTAATTCAATTTAAAGTAAATTTACTTAATCGGCTTAAATAGCTATGCTATGACTATGACCAGCAGTGGACTACAAATGCAGTCCACTGTTGGTCATAGCCATCCCAATGTGCTCCATATGCCCAGTCCAAATGACTGTTTAATCTAGTCCAGCTCAGCTTCCATCCTCAGAATATGTTTTACGTTTTGAGTAAATATATTTATAAACATTGAAAGCTTAAAATGCATTCGTATTTGATAAAATGGGTCCAGAGCCATGTTTATATACAAAGTGTCAGTACATTAAAAAAATTAGTGTCTTACTAATCTGATGTATCATTTACATTTTGACGCAGTTCCATCTCACTGTACGGTGAAGTTTGCTTCATGAAGCAAGCTGGGTTCACGAAATTATGAGTATATTTCAATACAGCTACCTTTTTTGGCATCGCTACAAACACTGTGTGGCCCTTTTCAGTCTCTATGACATCAATTTGCAGTATTGGACACGTTGCAAGTACTGGTATGTCAGATCGTATCATAAAATTGATTTCTCTCAAAGGTTGAGAATTAAAAAAATCTATTTCACCGTTAACAAACGGACGATAAAATATACTGAGTACTCCATAAGTTGTGCCCACAAAAAACAAGTCTCCATAGTACCGTACCACTATTATTTCTCTCATTGGTCCTTGCGGTAGTTTGTGATGAAGTACGTACATCCATTGGAAATACACACGCCAGTCAAGGTTCTCCAAAAAGTTGTAATTGTATAAAATGTTCAAAATATTTCTTTCATTTGTCACCGATTGTTTAAAAACCATATCTTTGTTGTTAACAATAGTATAAATGTTACGTTGATATGTCAGAACATTAAGGCAGCCATCCTTATATCCTAGTGACATAACACCATCGAGATCCTCGGCACGTTTCATAAATTTATGTGTAATTTTCTCACAGTTATAAACATTGCAGACATAAATTTCATCATTTAATTTAACATAATACAGCTCCGTATTGGTTAAAAGATACATCTTGACATTATCAAATGTTGCATTTTGTTCATCGGAAGGATTATTGAGTACCTTACGGATTATGAATAAATGTAGTTGATAGCTTTGAATAACAATGACACTATCATTTTCTGTGTATCGTGCGTAGTCGCCAGAAATTGAGCCACGAGGAACTTCTTTAAATGTATCGCCGTAAAAATATTCTATTGCGCGTTTTCTGTGAACACCTAAGATTCTATTGCCAAGCACTTCGACACTACGAACTTCGTCGGAAATGCGATAAGCTGACGCGAACTCGTCAACCTCTTCCGTAGCCTCTGCGAGCTTAGGCCAAAGACTCAAAGACCTGTATAAATAGTACCAACTCAAGTCCGGGTGAGCTTTTTTTTTAGCGGTTCGGTAATAATCATTAAATTCTCTCTGGCAGGTATTTAGCCAAAAATTTTCGTTGCCGATTAATTTATCAACAATTATCTTCCATCTGATGCATACTCCGCGGCATTTTATTAATTCTTTCACCGGCAAAAAGAAAAATACATTAAACAAGATCTCTGTGGGCACACAGGAAATAGGGCTCAGCGTTTCAGCTTCATCCGTCATTATGAATGATTACTATAGTTTTTTTACGAGAATTCTAATTCGGTGTTACTTTAATATCAGTTGCGTCATGTTTTTTATTAAACTTTGTTTACATTTTATATAAAAATTTCAGACACTACATATTAAACTGACAAGTCTGACAACTTATTAAGTTCAAAAGTTCAAGTTGAGCACAGTGTTGCCAACAGTTAAATGAAATCTCCACCGGATTCAACATCTAAAACCGGGCACGTTCCAGCCTGCAGATATTAAAATTTCAAAATAAAAAAAAATCTCATTTTATAGATCTCAATTAGCCCTTTCGACCTACGTTAATTATTTTATAAGCCCCTTTTTCGTTTTCCCAGGAAAAATAGAAATATAATTTTCAATTTTCCTCTACTTAAAATAGCCATATCTCTTTGAAAAATATAATAATAACTTTTAAAGTCCTTCCGTGCGTGTAGCATCAGCTGATTTCTGTCTGTTTCTGTCGCGCATGCGCATAAGTGGCTTGGAAATGCCACGACGGTTTTTTACTGTTTACAATATTAATTATTGAATATTTTTAAGAATTAGCACGCGGGCAAATTAAATTAGCGCAAGGGCAATTTTTTTACGCTTGGTAGAGTAAAAAATAATCATTTTTTAAAGAGATATGACTATTTTAAGTAGAGGAAAATTGAAAATTATATTTCTATTTTTCCTGGGAAAACGAAAAAGGGGCTTATAAATTAATTAACGTAGGTCGAAAGGGCTAATTGAGATCTATAAAATGGGATTTTTTTTATTTTGAAATTTTAATATCTGCAGGCTGGGACGTGCCCGGTACATCTAAAACCATCAGAAAAGCACTAACAAAAAACGACCCTACTCTAAATTTTCCACGAAACTTTTTTTTTAGTAATTACGGAAGAAAACCAATACTGATACTAATCGTTTTTGTCAGCAGTGTCACTTATGTTTGAATATATTTTAATGTGATTTGTTTACAACAATACAATTATGCACTAGTAATAATATATAATGTATAATAATTTAATAATCATGGCATTGGTTGGATTATATACATATTTTTTACGTTTGCATTAAATGACTGAAAAATCTATGAATACAGTACCATCTTTTTAGGTTGCAGTCGAATAATTAACCGTTATTAACTGCATTTTTTATGGGTTGGTTTAACCTAAAATTTAGATAAATAACTGTTTTTAATGGGTTTTTTATAACTATAGTCAACACTATTATCGTTGGATCCAGATTAATACGATTCTTTGGTACCGATTTGTTTTACAACGTTTAGTGGAATTTCATTAGGTAAAAGATTTAACTTCATTCTATGTATAATAAGTATGTATTTACAAAAAAAAGTAAATTTGTATTTATATCAGTTGTCTAGTAGCCATAGTACAAGCTCTGCTTAGTTTGGGCTGGTAGATGGCGTTGTGTGAATATGGTAGAATATAATTTTTTTTTTTTAATATATTATGAATACTCTGTTTATACCTATAGTCTCGCAACTTAATATCGGCATTGAAATGAGGCAGTATCAGGCAAGTAATACCCAAGGGTCGCTAATTCCTCAAATGTCGAAGTCCCTTACTCCCTGGGGCATCTTTGAAGAGCAAAAACTGACACGTTTTGCATTGGTAGACAACAACGGGCCTGTGTTACTACAGTTACGTGTGACTGTTTAGATGTTACTCAACAATTTTTCCTTGCATATATTACGTATTCTCTAAATCTTACATTATTCTATTTTTAAGTCCAATAAAACCCTTTCTAACTGCTTTAACCAAGTTCTTATATTATTGCCTTGTCTATATGAAATTGGTTCCACATTCCAAAAGTTAACAGAGTCGGACCCTAAATTATATCGCTGGTCTGCCCAGACCCAATATAATCAACTTCGAATTTTCTCCTGTGCCTTCTGGGGACACCAAATAGATCATCCTGTCTATCTGTTGCAACTCAATGGTTTGCAAGTCGTAGGGTGATAGTTACTATCCTGGATTACGTCCTCGAAGTTATAGCCCACATTATTGACTTCTTTCTCGACTCCGAAACCTTTTCCTCTCTCTGACACAAAGCCTACATTATCTCATTGCTTAAAATTAATAATCCTTCTCTTCTTGAGGACTTTTATGCAATTTGCATCCTTCCTTTCCTATCAAACGTTCTTGAGGTTTAAGTACACAAACAGTCCCACAGTTCATCTTTTAACAGCATTTTTTAAGACCTTTACAATCTTACTGTTATCAGAAAACCACTGAAAACAAAATTTCGCCATTAAAATGGGGGTCGAAACTACAAGTTTTAGTGGAAAATCCACTAGGTTGGCAGCATTGATTGAGTGCTGTCGGTCAGCCTAAAAAGGCCTAAATACAAAAAAGTTGTGTTTGGATTCCAGTACTTAATAACTCTAACCTGAGTAAAATAATATTCGAATGAAGGAAACCTCTTAAAGATTTAAGTTTATTGAACTATTAATTAAAATATGAAAATATATAGTTATTTTATACGCTATGGTTATTGACATCTAAACATTTAATCAACTTTTTAAGATTACTTCAAACTACACATAAGTTATAGTTTCAATTCATTAGTGTTTACTATTTCACAGTTAAATACAAGTACATAAAATATTCTGATTAATAATTATCTTAATTTCGTATTTTAGCCGGAATATTCATTTAAAGTAGAAGAAAATAAATTATGAAGTTGACACAATGCCACAATATTTTTTACAACACCGGCCCACCGGCGCACAGAGCCACAGATTACATATGACATAACAAGAAATGTCACTTCTCACGATTTAGTTTAAAAAAAACGGTTGTGTTGTTGCTCTGTATTTCTGTAATTCTGTATGTAAACAAATTACGCTTATATTCTACTCGATCTTTTAAAAATGGCTGAATTTAAACAGTTGAGAGACGTGAGTAATACATTTGAGGAACAAATAAGAAAAGTTTCTGCTGAACTATTTTCTGCGAAAATCGGTGAAACTTTTGAAGATGGGATCGCTAAGAAAATGCAAGATTTAACATTTTTTACTTCTAAACTGAGACTTTTAAAGGCTAAACCTATAGCTTGTAAGTATAAAACGTTTTTTATTTGGTAAAGATTTTCAAAACTACAAAATGAATTTGCACGTTTAAGAAGTAGTTTCATCTCAATAAGAATGCTCCTGATTGTGACATTACAAGTATTTCAAGTGTTCTGTTGCTCGCAAAAGTCTAAGTGATGTTTAAAGGTCCTCGGAGACTGCTTTATAGAGTTAAAGATTGAATATTCCAAAGACAATTTTTATTTTAAGTTGACATCAACTCTGAAGTACAGTATGACATATTACTGGATCTCAAGAGCTGACCCTTGGCATGTAGTTAGATGTAGTTATAATATCCTTTATAGCGGTAAAAAGCTGATGTCTGTTATTAAGAATCAAACTATCTCTATACCAAATTTCATCTAAATTGCTTCAGCGGTTTAAGCATGAAGAGGGTAACAGACACATAGACAGACAAACACACTATAGCATTTATAATATTAGTATTGATATTCTTTAAAAACATTAGCTTCCTGCAATTCTTTTATATGTAAACATTCAGTATTCCCTTAAATACTAGACTTAGGCCAAAGATACTAGAAGCCTAGAAACCAAGAAGCCATTATGCAAAGGCAGTGGGAGAGACATTTCATCTATACAGGTAAATAAAATTGGAGTGACTTTTTACTAAATGCATATGTACGAGGGCGGGTCAATAAGTCCGTGACTTTTGGAATAAAACACAGATTTTTTGATAAATAAATCATTTTATTTTTCAACATAGTCTCCCTTGAGCTCTATACACTTTGTCCAACGCTTCTCCAATTTTTTTATCCCTTCCAAAAAATATGATTTGTCGAGGTCCTCAAAATAGGCCTTTGTTTGCGAGATGACTTCATCATTGGAGTCAAATCTTTTTCCACCAAGCCATTTTTTCGGGTTTGGGAACAATAAGTAGTCACTCGGAGCCAAATCTGGAGAATAGGGCGGATGAGGAAGCAATTCATAGCCCAACTCATGGATTTTTGCCATGGCAACTGCACATATGTGCACTCTTGCATTGTCTTGGTGGAAAAGAACTTTTTTCTTGGCCAAATGAGGTCGGCCAACACCATATCGTGAATTTTTTCGATTGTTTCGGGTGAAGAGACCTCAACTGGGCGTCCAGGACGTTCGGCATCTTCAGTGCTTGTACGGCCACAACGAAATTCAGTAAACCAGTTTTTTACCATTGAAATCGATGGTGCAGAGTCCCCATAGTATTTATCAAGCTGAGCCTTGGTCTCGATAATGGTTTTTTTTTCGCAAAAAATAATGCTTAATAAGCACACGAAATTCACTTTTTTTCCATTTTTTCCTCAAATTACTTGGTAGTCTGATAAAGATAGCTGTCAAACACAAACTAACTGACGCAGCAAGTTCAAATTTTGACAGCAGTCAACAGACAGATGCCTGTTGACAGGAGTAGTGTTGCTTTTTCAGTAAAGAGGTCAGAAATTCAAAAGTCACGGACTTATTGACCCGCCCTCGTATGTTTACACGGTACATATGCCAAAATAACATTTTTTACACTTTTTGTCTGTTTGTCTGTCTGTTTGTTCCGGGTAATCTCTAGAACGGCTGGACCGATTTCGACGGGACTTTCACTAGCAGATAGCTGATGACATGAGGAGTAACTTAGGCTACTTTTTTTAGACTAGCTTCGCCCCGCGGCGTTGCCCGCGGTTATAACAAAAAACGCGGGTAACACCGCGGGTCTCAGCTAGTTCTAAATAATAATGAAAAAACTAAAACATCTGATTATGACTAATCGCAGATACAGCAAAGATGCTACTCAGAAAACTTATTAATTACTTGAAATACTCAATATCATCTATTCTATACAAATAAATAAATAAAATGTAAGTGTCTGTTTGTAATGTCACCAATACACCATACCTATGCCTAAAAACCAGTTTTAATATTTTTGTCTGACTGTTCCGGGTAATCTTAAAAGCAGCTGGACCGATGTTGATAATATTTTACTGCCAGCTAGCTATTTATAGAAGGAGTATCTTTGGCAATTTTGCCCAGTCCAGGAATCCCTATATCCGCTCTAACGACACCCATGGGATGAATAGGGGTACTCCGTATTCTTAATCCGTCACCACACGGATTTTAGATATCAATATGAAATAATTTTTTTATTAATATCCTGACAGTAAATTCAACAAAAAACCCTTGCTTTGCTACATTGATATAGATTGTGTATTTCTTATTCTTTTAAACAATAATGAATAAAAAAAAAATCTATCTCTTATTCCCCAGCATCCCCAGAAGCAACCCACCAACCACACTCAGTAAATGCCACCAAAGAATATGGTGAACTAGTGATGTGGAAGGTTCTAGAACAGGCCATAGTGAAGTCTCTTACACAGATGCATTCTGTGAAGGCTCTTATCACTGCTCCGGATCGGGACTTGGACCCTGAATTGGTGGAGAGAAAGGAGTGAGTATATAATAAAAAATAATAATAATAAATATTTATTTTCAGACATATACAGTCCATAGGTTGTTTAGTAATGGGTTAGAAACAGAAAGTACTTAACATCTAAATTAGTATGGTTAGTAATGACTCTAAAGGTATTCAACCATGCTTTTCTATTGTCACCCAGTGCCTTGGTATAGGACAGTCTGGTCTTCTAGCAATCATCTTCAGGATGCTGTTCCGGGTATTACGCAAGCGCTGTAGCATGGAAACCGATTTTTTACGCATGAAAGCATGAAAACCGTCTGTGCGCGCTTCGGGAAACATGTCCGATGCACTGCAATGCCGCGGCAGCCGCAACAGCATCCTGTACAGAAACCTTTTTAATATTTTTTAAAACGAATTTATACAAATAAATAAAATCTGTCTAAATGTATGTTTGTAATGTCAAAATAAAAGGTTTTTTCATGCTCACACGGTTATTTGCAGGATACCTATGCCTAGAAACTAGTTTAAATATTTTTGTCTGTCTGTTTGTTCCGGGTAATCTTCAAAACGGCTGGACCGATTTTGATAATAGTTTACTACCAGATAGCTGTCTATATGTATAAGGAGTAACTTAGGCCGGGAATCGAACCTGAGTCCTCATGGACTGCAGTCGCGTACACGACTAAGGCAGCTATTTCCAAATTATACTCGAACGAAGTTGCGGGTACTTTACTCGTACGTTGCGATTGAAAGTTCGATGATTTGAACAGGTAAAGGATACAATTATTATGTTTTACGAATCTCTTGTGAACTCGACCAATTTCAACATTATCATTGAAAATTAACATTGTTTTATTTTACGTTATACATCACCAGTCAGCAGTGGTGTCGTTACCAAAAAAAAATTGTAAACCCGTGTTTTTTTTTTTTTTTTTTTTTTTTCAAAAAGACAACGCCCGCATTAGGAATAAATCCTGTGTCGCGGGGGACTTTACAAACATACATGAAACGGACACAAAGAACACCCAGACTCAGAACAACAATTTGTGGATCACACAAAGTGTCGTCCCATGTGGGGTTTGAACCCACAACACTCGGCGTAGTAGGAAGCGGCGTGGCGACCGCTTAAACCACTACGCCATCCGTGCAGTCAAAGTAAAGTCAAGTATTGTGAACGACACCTCCCTGGTGTCGTTCATAGTACACGGGTCAGAGGAATATATTTGAAAAAAATCTTTTTGTATTTGGAATATACGAGAAGTACCCATTCAAAGAAGAATAAAATTTATAACAATTCATTGTGATGTTGGCATAGAGGTTGGTTTGATGATGATCACGTGTGGTCTTCCAAATTGTTCAAAACCAGTTTAGAGTTTATTTATTCTTTCATTTTTATTTACCGAGTGAAGTTACAGTAGCCCAAATCCCTCCTCCCTTTGATTCTGGGGGGGATGACTTGCATGTCGGGGCACCAGGGGCTTTCTTTCTAGGGTATACCTGGTTCCCCGGCTATTAGTACCCGAGACGGTGCGGTTTTAGTCGGTTCGAGTCCGACATGCCACCGATAGGTGGTATCAGAGGGGATTTCCGCACGGAAAAAAAAGGGGGGAAGACTCAAAGGGCACTGACTGTGACTGTGTGTGACTTTCGGGTTGCAGGTGGTCATGGGCGGCGGTAGTTACTTACCATCACGCGACCCGTCTGCCGTGCTATACTTAGAACTTACATCATGACAGTTCTTCAATAAAAACTTGTTTCCAGGAAAATAATCCAATCCCTCAAAGAGTACCGTCACCATGAGACGCAACTCCGTCATCTCCATTCCGTAGAGCAAGAGAAAGAGGAGGAGTTAGCAGCCGTAAGACAACAGTGGGACGAGGAGTTGACTAGACTGAGGGACTTGCAGGAGGAAGCTGCGCAGTTTGAGGAGTGTGATGTTTCTGGCCCTCTATATAAGTAAGTTGAATTTAGTAGTCCGTGTGGTGACGGATTAAGAATACGGAGTCATCACTCCTATTCATCCTGTGGGTGTCGTAAGAGCCGACTAAAGGAGCAAACAACGCAGGAGAAAACACTGCAAAGAGAAGGAAAACTTGAAACAAACCCAATACCAACCCGCCTGGCCAGCGTAGTATAGTAGGCCAAAACCTCCTTTCTAAGGAGAGGCCTATGTCCAGCAGTGGACTATTATAGGCTGTCGATGACGGAGACATTAGAGCTTATATTGCGCGATTGAGGATTAGCAGTGGTATCTAAGAAGTTCAACTTTTCACCAATAGATGGCGCTGGGTACTGTTTTCATGAATAAGAGTTATTACTGCGTTGTCGACAGGAAACTACGGACTATGGTGGACAAGCTGGAGCTGATGCGGTGGTTGGTGTGTCGGCTGGTGACGTCACGTGGGTCCCACGACTGGCTCGCCGCGCCTTCGCGCACCGCTCGAGCTCTCACACTGGCGCGTACGCACAACACTGTACAAATGTTTGTCGATGGTTCATGATAATATATTATTTGAGAATTATATTTCTGTTTTTTATTAATATTCAAAGTAAACATTTTTTTAGGAATGTTCGCTGCTCTAATGGCTCGCTCGCCAGAAGTACCATCATCATCATCATCATCATCAGCCTATCGTAGTCCACTGCTGGACATAGGCCTCTCCCATTGCACGCCACTTAGATCCCATACTTCGGCACAAATGGGTCGGCTGGACCGAAGTGATATCTGGACCTCACAGAAAACCGCCGTAGACAAATTGTTCGTTGCATTTCAGCGACTGTTTAAGGCTACCGGAGGATAACATTTGTAATATGTTTATACATATCATGATTAGTAAATGATGATAATCCAATGATGACTGGTTCATCAACGCAGAGCCTTAAGCTACAAACTTATTATTTTGGCAGCTGATGCTTTTTATGAGCACCCACTAAGAAAGGCGTAGGAGAGCCATGCTTCGGCACAAATGGCCGGCTCGACCGGAGTGATACCACGGCCTCACAGAAAACCGGTGTTGCATTTCACTGAGTGAGTGAACCGCTGACTCGAGCGGGAGGGACTCCAAGGGCAGCAACGCACTTGTGACTTTTAAGCTGCAGGTGTCCATGGGCGGCGGTAGTGGCTTACCATCAGATGACCCGTCTGCTCATTTGCTCCTTATACCTTAAAAAAAGGCTTTTTGAAAATTTTACCCTTAAGGGGTAAAATAAGGGATGAAAGATTGTATAGAAGTTCGTAATTTTCAAAGTTAGAAACGGCCTAAAACTTGTATTCAATAAATGTGGAATCAATCAAACCCCCTATTGCAGTCTTCTGCTGAACATAGGATTTTCCAACTCTATCTTTCTTAGATCGTCTATCTGGCTGGAGGGTATCCTACTCTCCGTATATCTCGCGGTCTCCGTTCTAAGAGACTTGTTAGCTGACCACATCTGCCGGAGGACCAAGGGATGCTTTACCAATGTGAAATGAAATAAAAAATACATATACAGGACTGCCATGGTTTTATTCCAAACAACATAAAACGCATATTGGAGTTATTTTCCATTCCGCTGGTATCTTGAAAACTGCAAAGGTCTTTCTATAAATTGTGCTTTTCTATAATCTGGTGCACAAACAGTTCCCTCTATCAAATCTTGTACCTTAGCCCTGCAATCACACACATGCTATAAATATTCATTTAAAGTTCATTGGCGTTAAGAAAAGTACCCGGATGACCGAGCTTTGTACTATTTTTTTTTTGGTAAATTTTCTAGTAATTAAACCTAGCTTGATAGATTAATGGCCCCCAAAACCCCTTGCAAACTAAATTTCAATACAAGAATTGCTCGTTTAAAGGTATTAGATAAGATAGTGACGTATCGAACAAGCCTTGCTCCTTGACCAATCAGGTTCCAAGCTTTCATACGGAACGATAATTTCTTGGAACCTGATTGGTCAGGGGGCGGGGCTTGATCGATGCGTCACTATTTTCTTAATGCGAATGGATTATAGTAACAAAACCAATAAGTAACCAATTTTTTTTATGAAGAATGGAATTATAAAGTAGAAAGAGTTGAGCTATCCTCTTCCTGGCGTCATCATCAGACTTGCGTTCCCGAGCCTTTGTTGGATTCGCGAAGGTTCTGTCAAAGGAACTACAAACGTCAAAATGGTACGCTTTGTAGAATATTTATTTTGTATGAAAAGCTTTGTGACGTCATATGCTAGTATCGGCAAACAGCTTAATTTTAGTTTCATATTATAAATAGTTCACGAATCTCGCAGTTTTTGCCGAGCTTTACCCGTAATTCAGTTTCCAAAACCTATAATTGATTACCTCGATGATTGATTACGTACTTTAAATGAAGACTATATCTTTTAGGAGTTATTTCGAAATGTATTGTTTTGCGCTGTACTTGCCAAATTTCATAGTTATAGTTCAACGAAATATACGTTTTTTGCGGCATAAACGGCCGTATCTTGTATTACGTTAACTTCGGAGTTTCATTGTTATTTTACAGCTTCAAGACCGTAGACCTAAGTATATATTTTCATTTTGACTCGATATGTCCACGCGTTCCCGAGATAAAGGGCTGTGATAAAATGTTTTTTACATACTTTTCCAACATTTCTTTCGACGTATCCTTCTGTAACCAGACATGTAAATATTTCTTTCGTTCTGTTCCCAGGCTAATGGCTTGACAGATAGACGGACAACAAAGTGATCCTATAAGAGTTTTTCCTAACTAATACGTACAAAATATTATAGTTCCTAGTGACCCTTTTAGTTGTGCAATACACCTTATCAACATTATTTAAATGAAGTAAATTAATAACATGAATTAGAAAATACCTATAAACGAAGAAATTGTAGTCGCTGGTGTCGAGCCTGGAGTAAATAAACCGAGGCAGCCGGTTCACCATCACCCACACTTCATCACCTGTTATGTGAAGATCTGGAATTGTATGTATTAAGTAGTTAGACATAAAAACCAATTTTTAACTTAAATCTCGATAGAGGGCGTTGTTTCGTCAGGTTGAATCGCGTTAAAGTTTTGCTCACAACAGTAGCATCTAGATAACCCGAGACAATTACGCAATTAGGGGTTTTTATTCTTTTTTTTCTTACTTCATTATTTATTAAGCAACTATTGAACATTCCCCTTATCCTAAATTATCTTCTTCTTCTGAAAACGATTACAAAACCAAGACGGGATGACTCCAGTCAGGCAAACAGCAGACGACCATAGAAGACAGCTGTTATCACCCCTTACTGTGTTTAAAATGGCGCTGACCAAAAATAATTTCGGTATAAATTATAGTATAAAAAAACTAGACGAATTAGAAGTAGTAGAAAATAATTTTATACAAGTTTTTTCTTTTTGAACTTATATAAGCAAAAGACACTTCCGTATTTTTAGGTATGAAAAAAGCCGTTAATCTTTATGATCCTGATCAGGATAATCTGCCAAATTTATCAAATTATTGTGTTGTTATTGGTCATTGATAAGTGTGCGAAGTTTAAATTTAATTTGTGGGAAAAATTGTCAAAATCACTTTTTAAGATTCCGTTACATACTTAGATACATACTAATAAAAAGCGTGTTTAAAAGGCAAAAAGATATAAAACACATAAGATATATATCCATTTGTCGGAAGTTGTCTTTAAACAAGACTAAAATAACACCCCTCTCTTTTGCGTCTAGGGTTAAAAAAAGAACACTTATTTGTCCTAAAACGGCCAAAATAAAACCAATAAATAAATATTATTACCTGAGGGGTAACTCATTCTCTCCTCATCCCTGGCCAGCACAGCGATATTGTCGCTCCGGAGGGGTTTGTCCACGTTCCAACAGGAAACTGCGTCTCTTCCTATTTCTGCGAAGAACATCACATTGGTCGGAGTGTGGACCCCGTGCATCGTAGACTGGGTATTCGCACCGCGATCACCTAAGAACTATGTAAGAAAAGAAATTTAATGAACTAACTGGTTAATAAAAGAATTAAAATGTTTTGTTTATGGTTTACGTTTACGTTTATTCCTTGTAATGACGGATTAAGAATACGGAGTTTTACCACCCCCATTCATTCCATGGGTGTCGTAAGAGCAGACTAAGGGAGCAAACTACGCAGGACAACAGCACTGCAAAAGAGAAGGAAAACGTGCCACAAACCCTATAATACCAACCCGTGTTGCCAGCGTGGTATAGTAGACCAAAACCTCCTTTCTAAGGAGAGGCCTATGTCCAGCAGTGGACTATTAAAGGCTGTTGATGTGATGATGTGTGATGTGTTTATGCCAGTCAAGTATGTTGTCGCTCTGAGTGCCCGTTTTGTATGTCTTGTTTTATTTAATTGACCAGAATATCTTGCAAATTACGGACCTGTTGGTCTAGTGTGTGGAACAAGCTTCCAGATGATGCTATTTGTGCCCCGAATGTGAACCAATTTAAAAATCGACTCTACAGATATGTAATTGAATCCAAGAAGGACAACTAGTACTAATCTCTCAGTATACAGGCCTTTATCAATGGTTTCAACTGCCCGTCTTAATAGGCTTGTGTCACTCATAAAAGTTAATGATTATTAATATTTTTTTTTAAATAAATTCGTACAATTTTTTTTTTTTTATATTTATCACACATACACACACGGCCGTCTGATCCCAAACTAGGCAGAGCCTGTACTATGGTAACCAGACTGCTGATAAACATACTTACATATTACTAAATACATACATGTCATAGATAAATTACACCCAGACACAGAACAAATGACCGTGCTCATCACACAATATTTGTCCTAGGTGGGAATCGAACCCACGACCTCCTGTTTAGCAGTCAGGGTCACTAACCACTAGACCAACAGGCCCGTCAGGCAAAAATAGGCATTAAGTCACGTGACAGCGAACACCAATCAGAAAGTGTTACGTCACGCCACGCAAATCATCATTGTTGTTGTTGACGTTTTCATACAACAGAGCAGGTTACTCCTTATTCCTTATTCATTTTTAGAAAACAGTTGACACTGGACACAGATGTAAACAGTTTTGTTTCGCAGACTGTGACGTCATTCAAGACGCCATGACACTATTCAGCGTTTTCAAGGAAAATTTAAATTGATTTAAAAAAAAAATACAAAATACGTAATTTAAATATTGCTTTTTCTTTACAATGTAGGTTTTTTGGGATAAAATAGATATTAAAGTATAAAATAAACCAGTTTTCAAATTAAGTCAACTAGCCCATTAAATTAATAATAAATGTTAAATTTCAAATAACAAGTGAAGACATTTTTGTTCGGTATATAATTAAAGAATTAGCTTACTTACACGAAAAGCAGTGTGATTGGCCTCAGTACGTTGCAGTTCGCACGTTGACACAACAAACTCTTGGCTGCTCACCATGGGATGGAAGTAGGCAGGGCGGCAACCATCACTCTGCAGTCTGCCCAACGTAAGGCTGAAAACTCCATCGTTCCACTGGAAAGACTGGCCTGCAATACGTAGATTTGTTACATACGGTGTTACCAGTTTTCGAGCGAATTCAAAAACACAAAAAGGGGGTTCTTAATTAGACAGTAGGTTTTTTTTTTGGCTTGTTTAGCAAGTTTTGCGCAGCATGAAGACCCACGCAGCCGCTGCGCTGCTTTGTACTTAGTCTATCAAGTACCTATTTGGTTTGGCACCGACTTCAAACAGACTAGAGGGTATCCATTGATATTATTATGTTACCTGCTAGATTCAGGGTCGCACTTATTTTGTTTTTTTTTTTAAATTAGATTCGTAATTAATTTCAATTCAGTGCTAGAAAGATTTATTAAAAGCAACTTTTTTTTAACACTTTTTAAAGGAAGGTGTAATTCAGACATGTATAGGTATATTTCATACTACCTATTGCGAGGCTAGTTATCAGCTCGCGTGATAATATTTAAATCATGTTTCTAACCGATGATGGTCTTCCATACAACCGTTCATCCCTTATTTTACCCTTTAAGGCTGAAATTTCCAAAAATCCTTTCCATCAACTGCTTAAATTTCAAACTTGTAGCTGCAGCGGTTTGGACTCTGCGTTGATCAATCAATCATTGCAAATAATTATATGTTTATAGATGTGTGTAGCTTGGCTAGTCAGTAATATTTTGAACAAAGATGTCAGAAATCCATACCAGAAACTGTAGCACACGTGTGAGAGGCTAATTAAACAATGAAGGAAATAGGTAGACCTTGGCTTTGCCTTCTTATAGGTATGACCTGCCTTTTTATCGTATGTGGGAGGAGGGGGGTAACGTTACACGCTCTGAGCGGATGGGAGCGAGATCGAAAAATTTGCAACAAGACTTTCTCCGACACTTATAGTCCATGAACCCCTTTTTTTTTCTTTTTTTTCCTGTGCGAAACTCCCCTCGGATACCACCCACCAGTGGGGTGGTTATGTCGGACTCGAACCGATCAAAAACCGCAAGCTATCTCCGGGTTCCAGTAGCCGGGGAAGCAGGTTTACCCTAGAAAGGAAAGCCCTGGTACCCCGACGTACCTCGGCTCATCTACGACTTATAGATGATCCTCTCCCGTGGGGGAGCCCCAATTTTCCCTTCCTGCTCCTTAAAAGGCGTCCGTTCTAAGTAGCGCATCGCGCCGTCACCCATCCCGGCCTGCGTCATGTGCGGTTTCTGGCCCGTTCCCGGGCCTGGCACGCCGGGAGAGTTCTAAACCTCTCTCGGTCCCGCTCCGCCATCTCCTTCTCAAGCATAACTTGCTCGCAGAAGGAGACGGTGGTGTTCCACGCACTCTCGATCCGTATCATGGCGGCAATCATTACCGAGCGAGAGAATTCCCACTCCGATTGCTGCCACGAGTTCACACGTTCATTTTAATCATATTTAAAAAAGAAATAAGTCGATTTCGTTTAATTGGTTACTAATTTCATATTAGTTTATTACAGAAATTAAATATAAACTAAATATCTACAAAAAAGTAAAATTCATTGTTTATTTGACATTAAGCCGCTGCTTTGAAGTCAGCGATTGCCCACGACAATATTCTGGAATACGTTCCGGTTTTATGAAAACTAACTTCCATATGGTTGCCGAGTTTATTGACCACTGCCTTCATTTTTTGGGCAATGTCGTTAAGTACGTCCATGGCAGTCGTCCAGGCTATGGTGAGTTCATGTCTTCTGGATGGCATACCAGCCACAGGGGTCAAAATCTGAATAACTGTCGCCTGAAATAAAAAATAAAGAGTGGACTCTTTCTTCACCTTTGTCTGGGACTTCAATTAAAACTAAAACCGTGTGGTGTCGTTGGACACCCGATAGGAACAGAGATTCTTATGCTATTTGACAAATATTTTATTTAATTTTATAAATTTTGGTCAAGGTAGTTTTCAAAAACAAGAAATTATTTGCATGTATTTTTTTTTCATATATAAGCATTAACAAAATAGATTTGCTAATGAACTACAGCTAGTGGTTTAAAGAAAAGCAGCTATTTTTTCATTAAAAATTGAATAACTATTGATTGAAGAGAAACGCAACTGGTCTCATTTTATTCCTCATCAAATTTTCTAATAAATCATCGTTTACATACAAATTTTGGTCTGACACTCGCTTAGAATAAATGCAATTAGGGTACTGCTATTGTCATGTAATTATAAAACTAGTTTTTCGATAAACAAACTCTATCGATTAAATATAACTAGATATCGCTTGACCGGTGTTACTTGAACTCTCATGAAATAGTATTTTGTATGGCAGATCAAAATATATACTGGCCCCTTTTATGTGACCGTTTTTACATTATTTGTAACTTTAAAGCACAAATTTGTTTAAGAATTGTGCACTTCTATATACACACTTTAAGTACTTCAAATACGATTTACTTCTGTGCGCCATATCTGTTTAATAATTTTCTCCACGTATTAATTTATAGATTATAAATATAAAAAAGTGTATTACCAGAAACAATAGAAACAAAAAAGGTTTTCTCATCATTTTCTTTCAAAAAATACTTAAATAAAGACGCAACATTTGTTCTTTCCACTCGGCAGTTAATTTAAGACTATCTTGATTGGTATTCATTAAAGATCTAGCGTTCCTTAATGAGATATAGTCTTGGGTACCACAAGATGTAAAAGTTGTGTAAAAAAAGTGCTCATAATCAATCTTTAATGGTCCACTGCTGGACATAGCCTCCTCTTAGAAAGGCGGGTTTGACCTATTATACTACGCGGGTCAGACGGGTTGGTATATGGTTTGTTTTTAGTTTTTCTTCTCTTCACAGTGCTGTTGTGTTGCGTCGTTTGCTCCCTTCACAGAAATCGTCTTATTATTACGATTTCTATGGCTCTCTTAGTCGGCTCTACGACACCCACTGGTGGAATAGGGGTTGTCACTTTGGTTTTCTTAATCCATCACCACACCGATATCAATAATTTACCGTAATAAACTGATGTATCTATATTTTGATTATAATGAAGATGAAAATTAACACTTGTATTTAGGGAATAGTTTCAATATTAACTTATACATTGGTACTGTTACATTTACATATCTCTCAGGAAAGTACCACCATCATCAATGTGAATAAATCATCACGATTATGGAAATCAAATATAGGTTACTTAGGACCCATAATATTATGTGACCGTAGTGCATCCCTGTTTAAAAGGGTGTATCCCTATTTCACTTCATTTTGTCTCCTGTTTTGCTGAGAATTGAAGTGGATTTATTATATTTCCAACTCCTCCAATTTCCTTCTGATTAATTTTGCTGTTCGAAGACAGTTAATTTTTTTTCCTGGCACTTCCCGAGTGTCATAACTCGGTGTGTTCGTGGGTCACTGCCGTTGATCCTGGTGTACAGGAGTTACAGCGGTAGGAGTGTGGAATGGATTAGTGCCATTGAAAAAAAGAAACATATTAAAAAAGTTGGATGGAAGGTAACACATAAAAAGATGTGAAATAAAGATATTGTTTTGTAGAAATAATGAGTTTAAAAAGGGTATTGATATTGGTCGTGGTCGTGGGCTCCGCTTTCTACATTTAGACTCGAGAGTGGATCTTTGTGCATCTAGAAGTGGTTGCCTAGGTGAGCCAACCAAGCTCTTTACAGAAGCGTAGAAGCCTCCTGGGACGTTCAGAGGATTCTAGGAGCGATTTTGTACCAGGTATGGCACTTTCTCGTTGTGTAGCCACTCCCTCGCATTCCAGGATTACGTGGGCGGCCGTTTCTTCTGCTTTCAGATGTCCTCTGCAAAGAGCACTGTCCGACCCATTAATGGTGAATAGTTCTCGGTGCAGGACTAGGTGTCTGCTAGTCACATCTAGTCTGCTAAGACTGATCAGTCTGCAAGTAAGTCGTGGTGAGACTTCAGTCAGTACCAGTTTGGACTGTCTGCTGCCGGGTAAGTTTTGCAACCTTCGGCTGTGTGCTTCACGAGTATGCTGTCTAGCCCGGGTTCGAAATTGGTTTAAAGGCAGTGGCATGAGTGTGGTTGGGCCGGTGGCCGTAGTCACCACACGGAGCCGAACCTCTCCTTGCCAGCTCATCTGCAGCGTCATTCCCGTGTGAATTACTGTGCCATTAATCCATTGAAGGAGTTCCTACACCATTTGTTGTGGCAAGATGCTCTGATGTTTGATGTTTAATTAGAGTAGCTTACGAAAAGAAAACCAAACTTCCATACTTGTATTATAAATGTGAGAGTTCACATCAAAAATATAAAAATCAAAATAAAAACCTCCTCTTTTTGTGAAGTCGTGTTAAATATATATAAAAATGTATGTATAAAAAGTTAACCAAAAAGGAACCGAAAGAGACGCTAAGAAAAGGTTTTGGATAATTTCTGTTTTATCTATGGCATAGTTCAGTGGCACATTTCAATCTTTTATCTTTTTATGGTGATTGAATTAACTTACCTGTAAATTAAGTGGTACTTACAGAAGTACTTAATCAACATAACACTTTAAGTTAATACTTTAGATCGGTAGAATGTCGACCGTATTATTTATATGTAGTTCTTTAAAATGGTAAAAATAATTACATAAATTAACATGGGGTTAGAACTATTACAATAAAGTTATAAATCAATTACAAGAAAAGAAAAGCAAATAACAACAAAAGGAACCCAAAGCAAAATTAATTACAATATTATAGCATTTATAATATGTCTTTACCTATGAAATTGCCGTTTTGTATGCAATAAGTGAAAGTACTTATTTTTTCAAACTTTTTTATTTCTGTTATTCGAAGTAATCACCCATGCAATCGCCTTGCACCTACCGACTATTACTTTTTCCAAAATTTAGACAACTTTTTAGTGGGTAAAAAATTCAATTCCCGAGAGGCAGTACAAAATGCCTTTGAAGAGTTTGTTGCCTCCCGTCTAGCTGATTTTTACAAGAAGGGCATCAATAAACTGCCAATTATTGCGCGGCTTTTATTGCTCTTGGCCAATAGGGAATATGCACGTGACACCAAAATGGACAAAATATTTTTATTTGTAATTTTTCATGCTTAAAAAAGATACCCATACAATTATTTTTGAAATTCATTATAATTTAATAGTGAAATTTAATCATCAAAAATTGGCTTTTTTAAGATTCCCTCGCAAATTTCTAAAACGCAACGCTATTGGTTGAATAAAACGTGACGTCAACCTACACTGTCAAGAGTGTCAACAATTTCTGTGTATTTGTAATATTTGGTTTCTGGTGATTATTTGTTTCATTTTTAGTTAATAACTAATACGTTTTCAGTGTTAAATTATTAAATTCCCGTGTAGAAAGACTCAACGAAATGACTGAATATACTTTGTCAGATGCAGTTTTGATATTATTTGGGCACAAAGGAACGGCACAATATTTATAATAAGTTTTTATTGGCTTTTCCATGGTAATAAGTTATTTTTTATCACTCACTTTTTTAACTTTCAGAAACTTTGTGAACTTCACTCCGTTGTTGACATCGAATTCGTCTGAAAGTGTAATCTGACGTCACAAAAAAAGCGCGCCAAAATGGACGTGTTCAAATTGCCCCAAAATGATAGTGATTTTAATATTATTTTTTGACGTGACGTCTTATAAATTGGTTTGCCGGGTGACACTTCAAGAAACTGCGTTACGCTCCGCTCACGTTATGCGCTCACAATGACAGCGAGTGAGAGGCACGCGTCCCTTCCAATCGGGCATGGTTAGCCCGCCTAAGAGCGAGAGAGACAGACATAGTCGTTGTCACGTAAAACTTTCGCCCGTATACCGACTTTACAGGCAACCAATTTTTTTTGCTTAACGGTTTATATTTCGGATGGGTTATATTTATTTTTGATAATGTAATAACTAGTAGAATCGTTTAAAAAAATAAAAAAAATACATGCATATTCCCTATTACGCAACTAGCCGCATATTTTAGCAGTTATTTTTTTTTAATGAGAAAGAACTCCTGCATTACGAATATATCTAGTGTCGCTGGGGACATTACGAGCATAAATGAAACGGGCACAAAGAACATGCAGACTCAGAACGACAATTGTGAATCACACAAAGTGTTATCCCATGTGGGGATCGACTCCTCAACACTTAACGCAGTAAGAATGAATCTGTGCAGTCGAGAAAAATTGTATTGTTGTCTAAGTATAAATGCACCTACCGGCTACTCTTAGGTCTCCAGCTGTGGGCAAGAAGCTGAAATAGTTGTGGGAGTGTCTCCAGCTGGTATTCTGTTTCAGAGAGTATACAATCAGGCCGTACGTGACCACATCTGCTATGTATGCGTACGCGTCGAAACAATCGTTGTTTCTGATTTCGACAGTTATAGACGCCAGACCTGGTGGAAAACAAATATTCTTTCTGTAATTATACCACGATGTGGTGCTAGATGTTGAAGATTATGACAAAATAGCTAGATTTATTAACGGGCCTGTTGTTAAAGTGGTTCACCAAAGTCTAGACCAAAAGGCCTGTAAAGTTGAATTCAGATCCTCTAGCAGACTGGCAAACAGACGCCAATGACCGATACCACTGGAGTTCTCTGGAGAAGGCCTTCACCCTCACAACTTGAGGGGTTCATGCATATTTTTATTAGAATCTATTTTTTTAATTTGCAAGCATTAAAATAAGTAAATTTAATTTTTAATTTTACGCATCTTTAATAATTAACATTATTATTATAAGAGCAATAAAAAATAATATATAAGTTTATGTCTTTATTTTAATTTAATCTATTAACAAATCAATTCTATATATTGTTTTCATGATTGTAACTAGTGTAATGCAAAAAAAAAGTGTTAATATATAATATTTATTGCATGAAATAAAAGGCTTTTTTATTTATTTTATTTATCCTTTAGCTTAGCGCTTAACATCCTGACTGCTAATCCAGAGATTGTGAGTTCAATTCTCGCTCAGGGCCAATAATTTTGTGATGAGCATGACCATGAAACTTGGTTCTGTGTCTAGTTGTAACTTATCTAAAGTTAAATTATATGTGTTTAGGAGTTAGTGATCAGACGGCCGTGTGTGAGAGGTACCTTATAATAACAATCTCACATATCTCACACCAAAGTAGTAGTAGGCCAAAAAGTCCTTTCTTAGGAGAGGCCCATGTCCAGCAGTGGACTAGTAAAGGCTGTTGATGATATCTCACACACGGCCGTCTGATCCCAAACTAGGCAGAGAGTGTACTATGGTAACCAGACTGCTGATAAACATACTTATACTCGTATATTTCTAAATACATACATATTACAGATAAATTACACCCAGACACAGAACATATGAGTGTGTTCGTCGTACAATTATTTGTCCTGGGTGAGTATTGACTTAACAGGTCACTAACCAATTTTATTACACAAAGTCCTTAATCGATTAGATTTCAAATGAGCTAGACTATTCTTTTTTCAAGTAAATTCATCAAAAAAGCAGTTAAACAGTTTTAAAACAGTAAATAAGTATAACTCACCAGTGGCTGTGTTATTAGCGGGAAGGTCTTCATTCTTCAGCTCGTATTTCAAGATCTGCCTATCTGTGTTCAAATCGTACACCAAAATCGATGGCCGTTGGAGGTACAAGACGTTATCTGAAGAAACAACAGGAACAATAGCATTTAAGTCTTACATCATCATCACATCAGTCTTTAATTGCTGGGCATAGGCCTCTCCTTAGAAATAAGGTTTTGGCCTACTATACCACGCTGCTATTGGGTTTGTTTCAAGTTTTCTTTCTTCACTCTCTCGTCGGCTTTTACGACACCCAAGGGATGAAAAGAGGTGCTGACATTCCGTATTCTTAATCCATCACCACACAAATAAGTATTACTTATCCTGTTTTTGATCATTCATGAGTTAGCCTAGCATATTTCCTCTCACTTTCTTGTAACCTGTGGAAGTGATTTCGTGAAAAGAGACGGAAGTTTGGGGCAGCAAGCTGGTGATACGAGCGCTATTTACTGCTTTAATGTTTAGAATTCCCAAATATGTTTCGCTTCATACTATGTAAGAAGAACAATCACAAGCCTACCCAGACCCTATACAGAATTTAAATAAATCCATATACGTACACCTACGCGTACACGTATACGTACTTGGTACTTGGTATTTTGGATGATACGAGTATAAATATCATTTGGATATACATACTTGGTATTTCAATAGCTCCCGTATCAACTGCCCAGAGTCTGTCGCACTCATCTGCTCTCGTCCTGTACACCGAAACGACAGAGCGAGAGGCTCTCATGTTCGGATAGGGAGAGAGAGCTGGAGAGAGCGATCGCTGTGACAGACTGATGTAGTTTATTGTTGCTGGTATACCTGGAAGAAGAAGACACAATTATCACTGAGGAATTTAAGAACATAACATTTTGACCATGGCTTTTAGTATAGTACTCGTAATAATAACTTGTGTCATCCCAGACTTGAAGGAGCCTCTGCTATGGTTGCCATACTGCTGATAAACATCATCAACAGCCTTTAATAGTCTACTGCTAGACATAGGCCTCTCCTTAGAAAGGAGGTTTTGGCCTACTATACCACGCTGGCCAGACGGGTTGGTTTAGGGTTTGTGTCAAGTTTTCCTTCTCTTTGTAATGCTGTTGTCTTGCGTAGTTTGCTCCCTTAGTCTGCTCTTACGACACCCAGGGGATGAATAGGGGTGGTGACACTCTGTATTCTTAATCAGTCACCACACGAAACATAAACATAAAAACATACCTATATATTTCTAAATACATACATATTATATGTAGATAATTCACATCGTGCACATCACACAATATCCATATCCCCATAGAGGTGTGTTAAACTGACGGATGCTACCTACTGCGCTGAGTGTTGTGGGTTCGATCCCCACATTGTACAACACTGTGTAATACACAAAATTGTTGTTCTGAGTTTGGATATTCTTTGTGTTTGTTTCATGTATGTTTATAAAGTTCCCTGCGACACAAAAATTTTTAGGGGTTGTCTTTTAAAAAGAAAATAAAGAAAGAAAGGAACGCTCATACTTTGCTAACTATAAATTTGGTCACACTTAATTAATCTAGTTTAAGTTTATTGCCGTCAAACGAGCATTTAGGGGAAAACTAGGAACTTAGTGAAGTGGAAGGTACCCAAGAAAGGAAGGTATCTAAAGGTAGAAAGGGATACAGCTCATACGGATGGAGTGTTGAGTAGAAACACCAGCTCGAACTAGTCAGAGCCGCATACCAGAAGGTTAATTCTCGTAATAAAAACTGTCATAAAAGGTATTTTCATAGTAATGTATTAAACATTCAACGTTGACTGTAATGTGATTATATCGTATTGTAACTAAGCTGTTAGATACTGGAAGGTCCGACCCCTTAACTTTTTTATAGCTAAGAAACGAAGACATAGATAGCAACTCAAAGATTCTAATCTTATATAAATATTTCTGATGTTTGTGGTAATCTGTGGTATATAAAATGATAAATCTCACCGTATCTTCTTCGAGGTATTGTTATGAATAGACGATTTCCGAATCTCTCCGCACCCATTGGTAAGTTGTTGTACTGGACGAAGAATCTTCCTCTTTCCTCTGAAAATTAATTATCTTTTTTTTTTTTCACACTAATATTACATATGTGAAAGTGAGTTTGTTTGTAAAGTTTTCACTTCTTCTCAATTCAAAAAAATCTTTCAACTTTCTTGCATTTAAATTGCATTGAAGGACAGATTTAACTTTTTCCATTTTAAAAATACTTTCCCATACATCGATAAAAAATAATAAAAATTAAAATATGTTTATTTAAGCAACACAATGTACAGTGAATTATAAAAATTAGTGCAAAAATAAAAGTTGTAGTTTGAGCTGGAGTGGAGCCTAAACTAGGTTAATATCTGTGTTTCAGGACTCCGGGATTCACACCCACGAGGTTAAGTTAGTCGATGTATTGTGGTGCGTTTGAGTGTGTGTGTGTGTGTTCCCCAACACACACACACACATACTCAAACGCACGTGTGTGTGTTAAAAATCGATAGACGTTCCAGTAAATTTTTAAAGGGCAAGACATAAGTTTGTGGTCTCATTTTTTTTATATGACGTACCTTACCAATTTTACTGCATGTTCTTGTACAGAGGGCCTAGTGCGAGTTTATTTTACTTTACTCGATAGTCACGGTGACCACGTTCGGTGCTGTGATTGGCCCGCACTTAAATCTTAACCAATCGCAACGCCGGCGCCGAGCGCTTGCTTGCGCTTGCGCTTTCGAGAGTGAGTTGAAGTAAAAGAAACATGCACTTGGCCTTCTGTTGTACCTTTTGGAGCCAATTTGAGTGATTCTATTCTTCTTTAGTCACCCTTCATCTTTTTATTACCTTTCTTCTAGTCAGTACTAATATTATAAAGCTGAAGAGTTTGTTTGTTTGTTTGTTTGAACGCGCTAATCTCAGGAACTACTGGTCCGATTTGAAAAATTCTTTCAGTGTTAGATAACCCATTTATCGAGGAAGGCTATAGGCTATATATCATCAATCAATGACTTACCACTGGGATTAATGGCCGCCGGGGAATTTACAGGTTCAATTGGATTTGCGTTCCATATCGGTCCTGAAACTACAAAAATATTTATTTTCTTCATCGCATGATCATGACATCAGGTGGTCGACTTGATGTAAGTAGTAGCGCCATCTGCTATTAAGTACCGTAACTAATTGAGTGTGCCATCAAAGGTTTAAAGTAGTATAGTCAATTCATTTAAATAAATAGTTTCTTTTGCTTTAATATAATTAAGGTCACATATTTCTAGTCAATTGCGTGTAATATCGCCTAGAAATTGCCACTTTTTCTCTCGCGTAATTCTTATTCCTTCTAACGACCTTAGGGTTTCAGTTATTTACCTTTTAAAGTGTGTGAAACATGAAATTTAAATAGCCTAGTACAATTTCAGAAGCTGTTACCCATTATCAAACTAACGTGTTCACAGACGTGTGTGCCAGCTGGCTTTCGGAAGTTAACTGAATTAATCCAAGCCGAACAGTCGCCGCGATGTACTTGTAGTTTCATACCTACAGTGCAGGAAGATCTGCTCGTAATAGATCAAGTGAGAAGTGCTACCTGTGTGTAATGTTGGGAACTCTTTTGCGAGAAACAATATTGTTGTGCCATATGATTAAATGGTATGATTGTATGGAATGTGGAGGACAGCGCCATCTAGTATCGACCAAGTACATCTATTAAGATTGTGGTTGATACGAGTAGTTCTGATGCTTACAGAGAGAGAGATTCTGGAATATTCGTGTTTGTTTTGAGCGGACTGTCGAATACCAGGAACTTTCTAGTAAAATTCAAAAGCGCTATAAAATGCGGAGCGTGTTGGCCGTTCGACACAATATCGTTTTACGACACAGCGAGTTAACATTGGAGTGAATTTCTAGTGCGACTAACTGAACTGCAAGATATATAGTGATTTCTAGTTAATTATAGTGAGTGTTTGTAATTACAGTGAAATAAAGTAATTAACCGACAACTTTTTTTATTATATACCCCGCTCGTAACAATATAACTTAATAATACTAATCCACATCTCACACAGGGCAGTCTGATCCCAAACTAGGAAAAGCCTGTGATATAGTAACCAGACTGCTGATAAACAAACTTATATATTTCTAAATACACATATTACACATCAATTACACGCAGACAGAACAAATGACCGTGTTCGTCACACAATTATTTATCTTGGGATCCAACCCACGATCTCTGGGTTAGCAGTCAGGGTCACTAACCACTGGACCAACAGCCCAGTCTGGAGTGAACAGGCCAGACAATAATTCTTTCTCATTCAATAAGTAGCTAGGACTTACCAGGACCCCAGTTCCTCTCATTACCAGGTTCATCGTTGAAGTAGAGGTTATCAGAAGCTCTTTTTCTTCTGTCTCCTGCTAAATTTTCTTCTGCGAACCGATCTTCTAGCACTGCAAAAATATAATTATTTAACACACATATTTTTTGTAAGAGTTTAGGTACAGAGCTCCGTGCCTCGGAAAGCACGTTAGCCCGTCGGTCCCGGTTACCAAATCAAATCAAATAATTTATTTCGCGAACATGGGTATACATGTTAAGGTGTTATTAAAGGTACAACAATGAGCAGCTACAATCTACCTCAAGGCATGCAAAAAAAAAAAAATAGCTTTTACAAAAATACATAATAAAAGAAAAACATAGGTATGGTAAATTTGCGTAGTCAATCTATAATACAATAAATTTTAATAAAAAAATGTCAGGAATTTCATGTCAAAACCCTTTATACAATTCTGTCATTCATAAAGTCAGTAACACTACAATAACATTTCGCAACCAAGATATTTCTTAAGTTATTTTTAAATAAGTCAATTTTTTTTTTTAATGTAGGATGGCAGTTTATTATACATTTTTGTCGCAATAAATAGCAAACTTTTACTTATCATCCTTGTTTTAGCGCTGTGTAAGCACAATCTATTGTCGTTGCGCCTGTTTCTTTTTACAACGTCAGATAGGCGCTGAAATAGGTCAGGGTTTTTGTGTACCATACCAACATCTGCGGCAAGTGGCAGTTGAAGCCCTAAAAAGTTCGACAACAGTATTTCTGCAGAACTTCGGATCAAAGATCGGCTACATAAGCACATACATACATACATAATATGTACATCTGTGGAACGGGTTATCGTCTGCGGTATTTTCGGACCTATACGACCTTCAAACCTTCAAGAAAAGAGCGTACTCCTTCCTAAAAGGCCTGTGATTCCTGAGTTGCAGACGTTCATGGGCGGCGATAGTCACTTTCCATCAGGTGACCCGTCGGCTCGACTGCCCATGAACGACGACAAAATTTGACTAATGCAGTTGCTATGGCTGAAACTGGTCGGATCATCATCATCATCATCATCATCACAGAACTTCGATATCGCCTAGTATATACATTGGTTGTGGAGGTCTGATGACAGATGCTCCGCGTTATAAATCGAAGTTTAGCAGTATCGGAGTAGACTTAAAAGTTGACCCAACCTAGTTTAAGTCGGCTTTTAAGTCCAGGGGTAAAAGGAGTAGAGTTTAGGCTCAGATTAGTATTATTGTTTTTTTTTTTAATGATGTAAGGGCTAACGAAGAATGCCAGCGGCTGGAGCAAAATACTGGTCACTAAAGGAAATAATTAAAGTAAAGAGTTAAGTTAACCACTGAAAGAAAAACTTTGAATACCTGTATCTTCCCCTGTATTACATACGGAAGTGAGAATCATAGAGAAAAACTAGCTAAGTGCCAGTAGGCAATGGAGAGAAGTATTCTGACAATAAAACTCAATGATAGAATTCCCTCAACTAAAATAAGAAACAAAACCAAAGTCACCGACATACTTACTGGAATTGACCACTTGATACGGCGTTGGACAGGACACATGGTTCGTTGCAAGACAGACAAATGGAGTAAACAGGTAACATTCTGGTGGCCAAGAGATATAAGCAGACAACGGGGACGTCCAACTAGAAGATGGGAAGATGATTGCCTCCTATCGTTGGGGCCTTACTAGACCAGAGTTGCAACTGTGTCAAATCAACAGCCTATACTAGTCCACTGCTGGACATAGGCCTCTCCTTAGAAAGGAGGTTTTGGCCTACTATACCTCGCTGGCCAGACGGGTTGGTATAGGGTTTGTTTCAAGTTTTCCTTCTCTTTGCAGTGCTTTTGTCCTGCTAAGTTTGGTCCCTTAGTCGGCTCTTACGACACCCACGGGATGAATTGGGGTGGTGACAATTTGTATTCTTAATCCGTCACCACACGGACGACTGTGTCAAAAGACACACCGAACTGAGGGACATTTAATAACCGCATAGTTGAAACAGATTGCCAGTTCGGAATTAAGGGCTATATTATTATTATTATAAGGGCGAACAAGAGAGCAGGTCACCTGATGGTAAGTGATAACCGCCATCCAAGGACACCTGCTACTCACAAGTCACGGTCCGGTCACCGGTCACCGGTCATAGTGGCCGTCTTTTGAAGTGGAAGTTCGTTCTTATCTTGAAGGTCGTATCCGTCACATATCACAAAAAACTTAGATGCTTTTGTTTATTTTTAAACGTCTTCAAAAAGGAGGAGGTTATAAATTCAGATATTTATATTTTTTTTTGTTTTTGTAGTTTTAATCTTTCGTTTGTTCGTAAGGGGGTTATTTTCGTTAGTTTCGGAGACAGACAACGGAACTCTTCAAAAAATCACAGCATATCAACCGCGATTGCAGCTAGGTTTTTAGTGCTCTTTGTTAGTATTGAAGTCTGTTCAACTTTTAAAGAAGTATTTTCTTGTAAAGATAAATAAATTTAATATTTTTAAAGCGCCTTATTTTACGTTCGATTTTTTTTGTTATATAGGGGGTTGCCATAATTAAATCGTTTTGAAAGTATCTTATTGTACGCTCGTTTTTTTGAAGTGAAAACTTCTTTAGGCGTGTTGCTTATTTTTGAACAACAAACAAAAGAATGTATTTTTTGTGATGGGATAACGTGGTCACCGTGACGAACGAGTTGATTGTATTTTTATTTTATAAAAATAAACGTTGCGATTAAACTGCACTGAAATCTCTACTAATCACAATGCCAAACGCGCTCGCTGTCGAGAGCGAGTTAATGTGAGATAAACTTGCATAGGCCCACTGATGGAGTTGACCTTTATCTGACTTGGGTATTCTGTGATCATTGGTGTGTGCTCCAAAAACCATGAAAATAGGTTTCTTCTATTTTCCTCTATCCATACTTTCATACTAATATTATAAATGCAAAAGTGTGTTTGTCTGTGTGTCTATCAGTCTTTCTGTCTGTTACCTCTTCACGCTTAAACCGCTGAATCGATTCAGATGAACTTTGATAAGGAGATAGTTTGATTCTTGGGGAAGGACATATGCTACTTTTTACCGCGATAACCGACATATACGCGGGCGGAGCCGAGGACAAAAGCTAGTTCATAAATAAACCTTTTTAAAATAGTTCATGGACAACGGACAAGGATTACAAGTCTATAGCTAGTACCATAAATTACATGTGTACCGACATATACGCGAGCGGAGCCGAGGACAAAAGCTAGTTCATAAATAAACCTTTTTAAAATAGTTCATGGACAACGGACAAGGATTACAAGTCTATAGCTAGTACCATAAATTACATTAGTACCGACATATACGCGGGCGGAGCCGAGGACAAAAGCTAGTTCATAAATAAACCTTTTTAAAATAGTTCATGGACAACGGACAAAGATTACAAATTTGTCCATTGCTTATAACACAAATTACATGTGTTTAAACATGGAAGACGCAACAAGCTGTGAATTCTACGAAGACAATTATTTACCTGTCATAATTTCGCACGAAACCATTTATTATCAAATAGTTGTTAAGTTACATTGTGTTTTGTCTGTATGTACAAATAAAAAGAAACAGGAAAACTTTAAAAAGAAACTTATCGCATAAGTAAACATAAAATAATGGAAACTTGTTACATCATCATCGCCATGTAAGGTTTAATATCATCACTTATAACTGTGAAAGTGATTTGGTTTGTTTGTTTGTTGGAACTTGAAATGGAGAGTAATATTGGAAATTGATGAATTATTCATGTGGTGACGAATTAAGAATACGGAGTGTGAAAAACCCGTATCATCCGTGTTGTAGGAGCCAAGTAAGGGAGCAAAGTATGCAGGACAACAGCACTGCAAAGAGAATTAAAACTTAAAACAAACCCCTTTTTTTTAGTTTTTTTTTTTTTTTACGTGTGGAAATCCCCTCGGACCGTCACCCCACCGGGGTTTGCGGCGGGGTGGTGTGTCGGACTCGGACTGACTAAAACCACACGGTGTGCCACTCTGCGCCTGTAATAGGAGGGATCCGGGAACAGCTGTTATTAAGACATCCGGACCCCTCCTAGCGCCTGCCCGCTCCTGGTGCGGGCTCCGTCTCAAAATTTTAACCTCTCTTTAGGCGACGTCCGGCATACATGGACCCTCGCGGCTGGCCAAAATAATGCGGGTGGAGGGGAAACCCAATGTAAACAAAACCCTATACCAACCCGTCTGGCAGCGTGGTATATCTAAGGGGATTGGACTACCAAAGACTTGATGATGATGATGAATCAGGGGGAGAAACCTCCAGCAATCTCACTCACTCGATTAAAAGCAACGAAACACTGCTTGTTTTTTATTGTTTACGGCGCAAACGAGAAACGGGTCACATGGAACTCAGAGAGGCTTTTGTGTGCTCTCCACTAAGAATGAGGGGGGAAGGGTTTTGGCTCCAATTGCTTAACAGTCTAAATATGGCTTTCATAATTCCCAAAAACAGTTAGCTACGAGTAAATAACTGACGAATTCTAGTATTTTTGGAAGGAAGTTACTTATCAACAAGACTTTTGTCACAAGACTTTTTTCCGACACTTCTTGTGGAATTACGTCTGGCTAGACCCCCACGCCGTTAATCAGTGCAATAGTCATTTTGGAGAAAAATAATAATAAGATACCAGGCGCATCTAAAGAACACAATCCACTGCAAAACAGGTCTCGGAGTTTTTGTGCAAGCTATCATTACATGTGACTATGATTTATGCAAAAACTATAATCGTTTAGGTACAGTAAGACGAATAGTTTTTATGTTGCCAGCATTTTTTAACTTTGTTTTAATCATTGACGTAGGTCGAATACAGAGGAACACACTCGTAGGTAGATGGTTTTCCCAAGATTTTAAACACAAGTCGCAAAAAGGAGGTGTGTGAAGTTTTTAAAGCTGTTTATTCGTAAAAGGATAGATCGATTTCGATTTAATTTAATTGTTGAAGTTGACAGTTAATAAAATAACAATAATAAATAAATATTATCGGACATCTGACACAGAACGCCATCTAGTTTCAAACTAAGCAGAACCTGTACTATGAAAGCTAGATTGACTGACAGAATACTT